TCCATTTATAAATCTGACAAATAAATGACAAAACCATCAGAAATAGTGTCACTTTTTGTCAAAAGTGAAGTCACGCTATTTTTCATGCACAACACATTGTCTATCTTTCTAACTGTTTCAAACTCAATGTTTGTCATTACTGTCTTTACATACAAAATAAAAATTTTTCTTAGAAAAAAATTAGCGTTATTTTTCTAACTAATGAAATTCATTATTTTTGTGCTGAATTCAATAAAAATAATGTTTAGGTGAAGAGGTGAGATTTCACCTTTTTTTCACCTGTTTTTCACCTCTTTTTTCACAAGCGTTTTACATGAATTGTACGATGTATATTTGAAATCCTAAACAATTTCGTAGCTTCTATTTCTTCTTTTAGTACATTAAATGTTTTAATCATGCCGAAAGTCTCTTTATATTTCTTCTTGACGTCAGACAGAAGGAAATCTTCTGCTGTTGGATAGTTTTTATTAAGAAATGTCAACATATCCATTTTATCTTCTGCTGGCTTTTCTGCTTCTTTCTTTAAGTCTGCATAGTCGTTTCGCATTCTTTCCATCTCTTTGACTGAGTAGTTATATTTTCTTATTGCTGCTTTACATTTTGAACATTGCGGCATCGTTTTTGCGTTATACATTGAAACATTACCAGCTAAAACAACTAAAGCGTCAATTGCTCTCTTCATCTCAAACATAGCGGGTCTTATTTGTTCGTTCCATACTTTGCCTCTTCTATCTTTATCTCTTATTTCCCAAACACATTTTGCAACTAATGAAACAAAGTTATCGTATGTCTTAAATTCTTCGGATTTGTAAAGGTCAGAAATATTTTTATAAACCATGTCGCAATCTTTGTCCATAACTTTATGGTTGCAATGAAAACCAAGGAATTCATAATTTACTTTACGTATGAATTTCTTAATTTCTACTGAGTCAGTTGCTTTGACTTCAATTTCGTCGAATTCAGGAATAGTTAGTTTTTGCTGCTGAATTTCAAGTAGTTTAGGCAAATGGTCGATGAGGTCCTCCATTTCATAAAGATACTGTTCATTTGTTTCATCTTTCGCACTACAGTCTAAATTACTTGTTAAAAGTTCTTGCTTTATCTTCTGGATTTCTGTTTCAAAAGTATATGAAGAAGGAATAAAGCTTTTCATCTCTATCAACATTGACGTAGGATTCATGACTAACGAGTTTGGTGCTGTAGTTGTGGACAGAGTCCCGCCGTTCGCAGCTTGAATTGTTGTTGTACCGATTGTTGAAATCATATCTTTTATACAAAATAAAAAAATAAATAAAAATAAAACTAACTTTATTTTTTATATCTTAAGGAAATTCATGAATATTCACGAGGGTGAAAAAACAGGTGAAAAAAAGAGGTGAAATCTCACCTCTTCACCTAAACATTATTTTTGTCTGATTTACATCTAATGAAAAAGTTTAGAAGAATAAGAAAATTCTTTCTGGCATATTTTTGTCTTTCCAGTTCTCCCGCTCTAATGGTCCCAGATGTGTTGGCTTCGACTCTCTCAAGTTCTTAGATGGTATAACATCTTCAACGCCTCCTTCATATCTTACTTTATAAGTGTCATCGTTTATGTTATAGCCAAGTATTTCAATAACCACTCCTCGCTTTGCTTCGTCAATGGTTTCAGCAAGTTTGCCATTACTACTTTCGACTAATTTATGTCGAGGGTAAAACGCAATAGAGTCGTCAGCAGCTTTTATAAGATATCCATTACCTTGCGTAGAGTCTACGATATAATAGTTTCTACTTAACCTTAAACGTTTCTTTGTCAACGGTTTGTCGTCAAGAACTACACGAACTTTTCTACCAGGAATGAGGGTAAATTGTGTTGAATTTCTGATATTTTGTGTTTGACTTCGTTTCTTTTGTATATACTTTTCTTCTTGTTGTTGTGTCATTGAATTTGGTGTATGTCCTGTTGTAGAATGTGTTGAGGAATTATATACTTCGAGAAAATGTTTCATTGTTTCTTCGGTAAAGTCTCGCTCTTGGTTTAAATCTCTGAGCGTTCTTATAAGCGGTTTATGATGCCGAGTATGTTATGGTTATGGTCTTCAGTAGTGTAGTGAGTTTATGTTATGCTTAATGAGAAATTGATTTCATTGCTGAGGTATGCACTGTCTTGGTCTGATGTTAAAGTACTTGGGCTATGTTCTGCTACAAACTTTTGTAAAACTCTTAACACTTCACGAGTTCCTTTATTTTTCATTGGATATGCATATGCTTTGCGAGTGTTAACATTAATGAAGATGAGGAAGTGGCTTTCTTCCTTTCTTACTCTGAACGAGAGTGTCAAATTGGTATGCGTCAGGAGTGTTGGAGTAAATTGGTAAAAAGTAGTCGTAAGGGTTTTTTTGTTTGATGTACAACATTTTTGTCAAAGAACCTTTTCACTTCAGCTCTGTTAGTAAATCCCCAACTCTTTGCAGCTTCATTGAACTTCTTAAATGACCTCCATGGATGTTGTTCGAATACTTCTTTCAAGCTCATTTATGTAAATTTTAAAGATTTTATTCAAGACGGTAAGCCTTGACCCAAAGGGTCTAGGCTCAAAGCGCGTTCATTGAACGCGGTACCATGCGAATACAGTCACAAATGGTGGCATTAATCTTACCAAGCCTTTGGATTTGTTGTGAAAGTATGGACATGATTTCCTCCTGGTTCAGTTTGTCGAAAAGTCTTTTTGCTGAATTATTATAAGATGGAGATAAAACATCATGACCGGCTCATAGTCTGAGTTGTATAATGGGTGGTCTCTTAATGAGTGCTATGGTCGCCAGAAAAGTTTGTCGTTCTGTATGAGTGTGCGGTAAGTTTGCTTCTTTAATTTTCTTTGAACCACTGGCTTTGTTTTGAAGATTAGCACAATAAGAATTTGTCTACAATCTGCTTCCATGTACCAAAACCAGAACTGTTGCCGGATTTGTTGAATTCATTGATGTATATAAAGAACCAACAGGATATAATGTTTGAAGTATTTCAGTCTTTAATGTTTGAAGCTCTGTTTTGTCAGCTTTCTTATCATATAAATCTGAGCAGTGAATTTAACATCATTTTCATCATCCATGACATAAACATTTTTACAGCTAATGTCTTTCTTCGTTGTTATGTTTTCATTCGATGTTAAACCTTGTGGAAAGTTAGGAGGTTTATAATATAATGCATCCCCACCAGTTCCGCCAACCGTTCCTTCAATACTTTCTATAGCAACAGTATGAGGAGTTATGTGTATGTTCTTTATCTGCTTTCTTATCTAACATTGCTGGTAGTTCATTGTTTCAAAGTTTCTGACATGACCTTCGATATTCATACATTTGTTATTTAAGGAGTTTTAGTGTATCTTTTACGCTTGTTACTTGGATTCTCTAAAGGTGCACTTGAACCAAGGGTATAGTTCAATATTATGTCGTCTGCTCTAACAGTAGTGAAGGATTCATGTGTATGGTTCTTGTCAGCTTTACTATTAATGTAGCTTGAAGTTCATTTATATCGGAGATATTGTGTTTATGAGATTTCAAAACTTTGTTCGTTGCGTCAAGTTCATCTTTGTCAGCTTTACTTTTAATAGCATCTTCAAAAGTTATTTTTGCCTTAACTCTCAAAGTAAATCTTGGTTCAACTAATACACCGTTAACAAAGAAGTATGAAGCATAAATTTCATTGTTATAACCAAATGCTTCTGGTGCTTTACCTGTGTCATACTGTACAGTACAGTTATGTCATAACCTTTAGCACAAATGAATTTATATCTTCTTTCATTAACATCTTCAGTGCTTATTTGTTCATCCTGTGTTAAATATCCATGGTAGTCCGTTATAATCTTTCGTCTGAACTTATATAATGAACATGGTTTTATCTGCTTTTTCGGCTAATTTCTCTTCTATCTCATTTATTTCAAGTTCATGCCTACCACCACCTCCCAAGAAGTATTTTTCTTCAGCTCTTGAAGAACGTCCACTTCGCCATCTTTGGTGTCAATAATGAGACTTTGAGTTAAAACCTTTCCTGTCTTAATGGATGTTTGTAAAACTTCTTCTTCACCGTGTTCGGGGTCATGGTCGTCATCATATCTTGTGAAATCAGAGATGTCATACATTAAGCATATCTGTCTCAAAAGTTCTGCTATTTGAAACTGGAACGAAAGATATAGAACTTTCATCATCTCCTAAAGTCAAGTCTGATTCTTAAGTATTTCTGAATGTATGCAATGAGAACAGAGTACCTTGGAAAATATTCGAACAATATTTCATTAGCTGTTGGTTTTGGTGGTTCTTCTGGAGTTTCTGTTGTTTCAGTTCCTTCTGTAGGTTCTGTTGGAGTTTCTGCATCTCTTGACTTCAATGCTCTTGCTCTCAAAGACCTAAATGTTAGAGCACCAGGTTTTACAAAGGACTTTATAAATTTTAATAGTTCCTGGTAAGTTATTGTTAGCATTAAGTAAGTTCCTTATGCTTCCATCATGTACGTCCATAGCACTATGTAAAAATCTATACTTTTCTTGTAGTCAGCAATAGACTGACTGTGATTTTTTAAAGATTTGTCAATACCTTTAAGCCAATCTTCATGCATGTCTGATACTGAGCCAAAATATCATTTGCTTCCTTTAGTGTATTTTGTGCTTCTCGTAAAGTATCCAATCCCGTACGTGCATTGTTTGCTATACGTCTTACAGTATCTATTTGACTCCTTGTTTCTTGCATCCAACCAGATAAAGTTTTAATAGTATCCGAACCATTTGAAATGAAGTTCAAAGCATTTTTAACGTCATCTAAAGCTTCTTCACCAAGTACTGCCCATATCTTTCCGATTTGGTATTGAAGAACTCCATATGAAGCAGCTGTTAAACCAGTATTTATAAGGTTCCATATCCATGATTTAGCAGTTTTTCCATCCTTTCCATCTTCACCATCCAAACCGTTTTCGCCTTGAGGTCCTTGTATTCCTTGTATTCCTTGTATTCCTTGTATTCCTTGTGGTCATTGAGGTCCGGTGTCACCCTTCTCTCCTTTCAGTTCATCTTTATGTTCGTTATAATATTCTAATGTCATAAGGTGTACATCATTACTGTTACCAGCAACGCCGAGAATTTGTTTCTCATTCATGACTAAATTCTTTAGGCATTTAATGTTGTCGTCAAATCGAAAGCTCTTTAACAATTCAATGAGAACATTTAATACTTTCACTAATGAGGCATCTACTGTAGAATTTATATATTGCACCGTTCCATCATTTATGATGGGAACCTTGCTTGTTGTAATGAATGGGTCATAAGTGTTAAAAGTATCGAAATCAATGACTTTTTTAGTTTTTCCATCGTCAATGACTAAATCATTGCCTTCAATGGTTAAAGTTGAGTTTTCGTTTACTAGTTCATGTGCTCTTCTTGCTTCATTTGTTTCATACGCATATGCAGCAATAGTCATATTTTAATGAGAATAAAATGTTGTTCTATTTGCAAAGTACAGACCCAAACGAATACGGGACAGTAAAGCTACAAACAAACTTAGGTCTTCAGAATGAAGCGCTTGCTTTCAGAGTTGTTGACTTCAATACTATCGCAACTTTTGTCATAACAGATGAAACAGATTTCATAGAGATTGAAATAGATGACAAAATAAGTGTTATAACATTTCCTAACAGAGCTGGGTATAGAATAGATAAAATTGCTGGAGTCATAGATACTCTCATAAATGAAGAAACTATTGACAACATAGATGTCGAACTCTCTTCTGAGGGAACATTGAAGTTCAGTTATGCGAAGGAGTTTAAGATAACACGAATTAGTCATAGAGTTCAATTGCTTCTGGGAGCATACCATATGACATTTCCTTTGAAAAGTGTTGACAAAACGATTGAGATGAAATCTGTTCCATACGTATGTTATGGTAATTGTTTATACATTGAGTCTAAAATAGCTAATGTCACAGGCATTTCAGGAGTTAATAGTAAAGGTTCAGTAGAATATAAATCCTTCTGTTATGCAGTCAATTCAATGTTCATTCCAAACGTTCCTGTCATAGCAACTCATTTAGGTAAATGGGTTCGCATTAGTCCTCATAATTTGAAAGACATGCAATTCAGACTTGTTGACTTTCAAGGAGAGCCTGTAGAACTGAAGGCACCAGTGCGAATGACTGTTGAAGTTGACTTTTTAGAAAATATTAAATGCAACAGCTTACAAGAGAACTCAGAGCTAAAAATATAAAGTATGAATGTTATGTATTAGGTCATGAACTTTGGTTGTTGCTGTTTGATGAAACAAATGAGTTAGTTATGTCAGTCAAGAGAACAGAAAAATATTGTGTTAGTGAAAACTGCACCAAGTCAATAAGATTAGGTTTGCATTATGAAGATGAGTTCGATACTGTTGAAGAAGTTTTGGATAGATATTACAAATTGCTAACTTGAAATTTTTTGACTGACGGCGCAAAGCGCCAAGACCGAAGGTCCTGACTGCTTTAATTTACTAAAACATATTTCAAACAAAGCTTATATTCTGTTGAAAGTTTTGTATATTCATTCGAATATTTATACTTAAACTCAACTCCTGTAGTTCCTGGTGTTTCAATGATGCGGATGTTACCTATTTTCATGAATAGTGGAGTTTGACCACAGCATTCGATTTCAGGGTCGAGATAGTCAATGACACATTGTTTCCCTGTTATTTGTGAGATAACATTTTCAAGGTCCTCCTTTGTTAGAATTATTTGGTCTTGCTTATAAGATTTGTCAAAAGCTTCTTATCGTCTTTGAGTAAAATTGTTTGGTATAACTGAAGAAGGTAATGGTCTACGTTATCTGAAGGATTTGTTTGAACATTTGTGTAAGGGTTGTCGTTGGCTTCTCTTGAAAGAATTTGGTCCAGTGGTGGATACTCTAACTTAACATCTGATGTAGCGTTAGCGTTTGAAGCTGTGTTTAAATTCACCGACTTAAGTTCTGGTTCTTTTTCTTTCAAACACTCCGAACTATAGTTCTTTATGACAATATTGTTTGTCGTTCGTGAGTCAACATTTGATGTTGGTTCAATTGGAACATTAACGGCACCAGCTAAGATGGATTTGCTTCTCATTTCATATAGAATAAAAACCTTTTATATGTATGAAATGAACAATATACTCGACAAGGGTTTGAATGTAAAGCTAACGAATGAAAATATTGTTGAATTCACTGAGACAGGTGCTGTGTATAAAGATGTAGAACTACTGAACAAAAGAGCTAAGGGAAGAAGCAGGAACATGAACAAAGGGTGGAAGCCTATAAAAATTTATGTCAATGATGGCTCAGGAGGTTCAAACATAAAGTATGCAGAAAGTTATAGAGTTTATGCTCTCAAAGGTGAAAAGCCTTCATTTAAGAACAGCTATTCTAACGCATATCCTCAAAAGCTAACGGATGGGGAAGTGGATGATATGAATGACAGCAAAAATATTAACAGAAATGGCGACAGAGATGCATGGAATTTGTTTACCATCAGTCAATTGAAGGTTAAACTTTAAAACAATGTTGGTCGTTCCCATGGAATATTTTTGACTTTAATGGTATTAGTCATGATATGAATCTCAAGGTATGAACGAGGAGAGATGAGAGACTTATATGCTTCCCAAATTTCTTCAAAAGGTAATGTTATACCTGACTGTTTCCAAATGAGTTCAATATCATAGCGTGAGAAACCTTGAAAGATAACGAAGTCAGTTATGAGACGTTTTATGTTTAAAGCTAAAAACCTCCATGTTTGCATAAGTATTGCTACAGTTAAGTGATAATGTCTGACTTTAGTAATGATGTTAGCTAATGGTGAGTCTGGTTTTGACACTAAACCTTTTCCGGCGAAGTCGTCACAAACTAATAAAGTGTTTGATGGATATTTTTTGAAGGGGTATTTTGAAAGTTTTGATAGAATGTAGTTTGTAAGTCGTTTCATATCGTATACTCCTGAGTATTGACGTAAGTGGTGTTTGTCAATAATTCTTTCCATCTCCTCAGAGGTCTTTTGCATTCCTGACTGTATAAATTCAACGATGGCATAATATTTCCTCTTACGTCGAATGTAACGTTGAAGAAATTCAATGAGTTCACTGTCTGGAACTTTAACGACAGAGGCTTGAACTTTTGACATAAATGTTTTCGCTGTTGAGTCCATAGGGTCTGAAGTTGCTGATATAATGATTTGGTCATAGTAAGAGTCGTTTCCTAAACGCTCTGTTATGAGTATATGACGAATGAGGTTAAATGTCTTTCCTGAACCCATCTTTCCACAATAGAAATACACACCATTTGAACAGAATTCATAATCTTTGCTGAAAGGAAGAATGAGAGAAGAGTTAAGTTTGTCTGTAGTTTCATTCATGTCTTCATCTACGTCATGTATTAAATGCTTCATTTTATCTCCATTAAAAATGCAAGTCAGAAATATTCAGAACATAGCACCGAGTCTAACTGACAAGAGTATAAAGATATACTATGAACACGTTATGATGAAACCAACCAAAATTCAAGAAAGTCAGTATACTTATGAATATCCAAGACACTGGGTAGAGTATGTAGGAGGTGAGAAAGCTATTGAAATCAGACAGGTTCGAAGTATTCCAGCAGGAAGAACAATATTATTGAAGAACTTTAATGTTTTGAGATATAATGATGAAACAAAGAAGCAAGATAGTTTTCCTGTTGCTGTGTATGTGAACCTAGACACAGGAGATGACATGAAAGTTTTTAACACAAAGCTTCAAACGGTAGTGAGAGAACAACTTACTGCGGAAGGACATCAATTACCTTCAGAAGTTACCATAGCATATAATTTTGAAACAAACTCAATAGATTTTAAAGGCGTCTCTGCAAACAAGTCAGGATTTACATTTAATGAAGCAGATGTCTATTCGAATGAAAACTTCAAAGCTATTGCATGGTTAGATAATGACGATTGCTTTAAGAAAATCTTTAAATTCAGTGACTCAAAGATGTCAATAGATGACCTTCGTGGAATGTTACCATCGACGTTTACAGTTGAAGGTTCAGCAGGATTGCTTACAAGTTTTTCAATTGGTGGCATTTGGTCTCGTGAAAACATTGTTATAAAATCCAGTATAAGTGAATTTGCTGAAGAATCTATATTATGTCTTTCAAACTATATGTATTCGCCGCCGAAGCATTATAGTATAACAAACTTTGTCAGTAAGTTTAATATAAGACTTGTTGAACCTTCTTCAATGAAAGATGTTGTGCTACCTAAAGATGGAAAGGATGGACTCATTATTGAAATGATTTTAATTGCATATTAAATGAGCTTGTTCTTGAAGGTCATTCATGATGAAATAACTGTTGTAGAAGATGTTAGCAATTGTTCAGACATTTTGAAGCGTATAGATGATATAAGAAAGAAGTTAGATAGACCGCAAAGCGGTGAGGGCGAAGCCCGTGAGAACGCTTATGTTTCATTGACTTTCTCCAGTAACGAGAACTTTTATGAGATAATATTGAAGAGAGATGATTTTAATATGGTGTAAATGGTAGCTTGGGCAGCTTTAGGCGCAATGGGAACAAAAGCATTAGCATTTGGAGCAAAAGCACTTGGAGCTTATGACGCAGTAAATAAAATGAGTGGAGGAAGGGTTTCGAAGACATTAGATGCAAATAAAGGGAAGATTGGAGGCTGGGTTGCAAAGAAGTTAAGATTAAATAAAATAGGGCTCATAAATAAAGCATCCAATTTGGTTGCGACTGAGTCAGAAAATACTTTAGGAAAGGACAATGAGTTTGCAAAACACGCAAAAGACTTTAATGACCAGATGAAAGGTGAAACAATGCATTTAAATAGAGTCGATGGAACTAAAGAAAATGTTTCTTCTCCACCAGCGGTTTATCCATACGGACCTTATGGAATGTATGGAAACCCTTACGAAAGACCATTTGACCCATTGACTGGTGGAAGTAATTGGTATCATTACGGACGAAGAAGAAAGACAGTCAAGTTGGAGACAGACGTGAAGAAAGCAACTAAAAAGAAACCAAGGAAGAGAGTTATAAAGCAATGAATTCAACAGGGTGAAAAAACAGGTGAAAAAAGAGGTGAGATCTCACCACTTCACCTAAATTTTTTTGTGCTATGTTTTCATACGTGTGAGGGTGGTGATATCATTAATTTTTAAGTTTATTTTTTATTTTATTTTTATATAAATGACGAAAACTATTGAGATAACAAACTACAACGGTCATGAGTTCAAGAATTTGTTCTTCGTTCCTCGTGAAAATACATTCTATCAGATACGAGGGAGAAAGGGTAAAGTTAGTTTGAGCGTTTATGAAGGAATGAAGAATGGAAAGTTTATACAAGCATACGATACAAACGGTAAACGTGTTTCATTAGCTTTGTCAAAACTTACTAACATTTATTTTGACAGTGACTTTGACTCTGACGATTGGAGCGACAGCAGCGATACTGAAGAATATGAAGTATTGTGTGAAGCACAGCAATGGGAGGAGTTGCAATACTTTTGTAAGTGAGAACGTTTATTTTTACAGTAGTGAAGTCGTTTGTGAAAACGTTAGTGAGGTGAAGTGGTTGGCGGCTTTATAAATATTTAAGGTTATGTTAGTGTTGTCGTTTGTGTTGTAAAATATATGTTAGTGGTTTCGTAAAGTGTCAAATTCACATATAATGGGTAAGGAGGCGCGCAGTGCCTTCGTACACATGATATGTATACTAACTTATGAAGAACTCTAACGTTGAATTTTTCAGCATTGTTTTAGATTTAACGCAGCAGAAAGAATTCAAGAAAGGAGAAAATGTCGTTAAATATTATCCTTCATCTCTGAAGATGATAACGAATAAAGATACACTCCATAAAATCCTACCAGTAATTGAGGAAGCAACGATTGAATTTGATGAAGAAGGTATGGAAAGCCGCAACGCGGAGCCCATAGTTGAGGAAAGTGACCCTGAGGAAAGTGATTCTGAGGATTTATAAGAATAGGGATGCGTTAAACACGCCATTTGACCGGGCGTACATTTTTTTCGCCCAAAAATTTCGCCATTTGAGAAATTCAAAAATTAAAAATAAAATTTTAATCTTGATTTTTTTATTTTCGTGATTTTTTTAAAACTCACATAAGCGATGAAATAGTTTTTTTAAGTAATCGTTTATTATATATAAATATATCTTAATAAATTTAATTCCTTAAGGTAGAGTGTGTTCAAATTTAAAATCTCATACAATATTTTCTTAATGGCGTATTTTTCTGAGGTCGCCCAAATAAAGGCGAATTCAAAATTGAGAACTCCAAGGCGTATGGCGAGTATTCAAAAAGTACGCCACTTACAAAATATTGAATGTGGATTATCAATTTTTTGGCGTGTTCAATTTCAAATTTTGATATTTATGTTTATTTTATTCAGTATAATGCTAAGAATTAAAATATAAAATTCATAGAATTTTTTTCTTTGAAAATATTTTACATTTTTATTAGACCACTCCTAGACTAGTCATCAGGTTATCCTCAGATCATCCTCAGACTACTCCTTAGACCCCTCCTCATCAGACTACTCCTCAGATCTTCCTCATAAGACTCCTCCTCAGATCTTCCTCCTGAGACTACTCTTCAGACTACTCCTTAGAGTCCTCCTCATCAGACTAGTCCTGAGACTAGTCCTCAGACTACTCCTGAAACTACTCCTCAGATTATCCTCAAACTACTCCTCGGTCTAATCCTCAGACTCCTCCTCAGATTATGCTCAGATTATCCTCAAACTCCTCAGATTATCCTCAAACTCCTCAGATTATCCTCAGACTACTCCTCAAACTCCTCAGTCTAATCCTCAGACTCCTCCTCAGATTATCCTCAAACTCCTCAGACTACTCCTCAAGCTCCTCAGACTACTCCTCGGTCTAATCCTCAAACTCCTCCTCAGATTATCCTCAAACTCCTCAGACTACTCCTCAAACTCCTCAAATTATCCTCAGACAACTCCTGAAACTACTCCTCTGACAACTCCTCAGATTATCCTCAAACTCCTCAGATTATCCTCAGATTATCCTCAAACTCCTCCTCAGATTATCCTCAAACTCCTCAGATTATCCTCAAACTCCTCAGATTATCATCAAACTCCTCAAACTACTCCTCGGTTTAATCCTCAGACTCCTCCTCAGATTATCCTCAGATTATCACTTTACATATATATATATCGATAACTAAATAATTACTTATTATACTTTCTTTATTTTTTTTAATTTTAAAATAATATTAATATATCTTTCTACGTTTAATGATGAAAAGAGAAAGAGGAGTAAAAAGAGGAAAGAGAAAAGAACGAGAGAGAGAAAAAAAGGACGGCAATAATTTTGTATTGTTTTGTTATTCGGCCGAATGGCGGGTACGAAATAGCCGCCATTCGGCCCCAAAAATGGCGTATTATTCTATTTTTAAACGGTCATGGCGTAAAACAGTCGCATCCCTATATAAGAAAATTTATTTTTGAATAACTGAAGGTGTCACCACGTCACCATGTGTCACCTGGTTAATTAACTTCTTTTAAAAAGTGTGACAACATGACATTTAGACAACAGCATGGGTTGAATGCAAAAATAAATTCCAATCATACTTTATACTGCATCATTTACAGGTATTTCATCGTCAGTAAATGAATCGTCATTTTCGTTTGGTTCAACCTGTTTATATAATCCTTTCATTTCTTCTTTCAAAACATAACACCATGTTTGTTTACCATCTATTCTTCTCTGTTTCCTTTCACATTTATCCTTAATGCTCATTTGAAAGTTTTTGTCTTTCATGTCTGATGGTTTGCAGAATAGAGCATTTTTACATGTCATACCTGCACACAATTCATCATAATGTGTATTTATCCATTCATCTAAAGGATTTGTTGATAATTCTATTAAATCTTGTTTGGCTTCAGTCATCGGTATAATTCGTACATTAAATGATGAAAGGTCGTAATTGATAAAATATGTTAGTAAATTATCATAAAATTCCTTTGTGCATGAATCCATTAAATTCTTGAAGTAATCAAATTGACCCTTGAATTTACCATTAACCCTTAAAACTACGTATCTTCTGTCTCCAACTTCAATTTTGACAGGGTAGACGTTGTTAGTTACGAAAATGAAGTTTGCAACGTTCTGTGCTGTTCTTCTGGGTTGATTCTTTTCATTAATTCTTATTTGATTATCCGTTATAATTGATTTCAAAGCGTTGAAGTTTGTGAGTCTATCTTCACCTACATTCTTGAGTTCATTAAGTACAAGAAGCATTTTATTCTCAACAACTGAATTAAAATTACCCGTTAGCTCACCTATTTCGGTAATGTTTTTACATGAATAACCAGCGAGAAGTTCAGAAATAATGTCTGTGAATCTGTTTTTACCTGTTCCCTGAAGTCCTTTCAAAATAATTGCTGTTTCATTCTTGATTCCAGGATGTTGAATCATTGATGCAATCCAGCCGAGAAGGTATTTATACACTTCATCGTTATTATCACAAATGGCTTCTTTAATGAAATTCATAAACATCTCAATTTTTGAGTAATCAGGCTTTTCGAGAACGTTGTATTTATAACCTTGAAACGTTGAGAAAACATCTGGGGAATCAGATTTGAAGCAAACACCCTTAACGGTTAATGAGGATAATTGATTTAGTAGTACGTCCCATGCTGTTATGGTTTTACCTTCTTCTTTAAATAATTTAATCATTTTGAGTGACTCTTTCATGGATGACTGAAGAACAAATGATATTTGATTCATTTTATTGTGGATATTATAGTCCTTTTGAATAAAGTATTTGTTTCCACAATCTACAAAACGCATTACACTTGATAAATCCTCAATGACTTCAGAACTGTTTTTATACTGATGATTTTCAGCCTTGCGTCTAATATCTGTTATCAAGAATGAATCATCAAGTTTTATATCAAATGTTATTTTTGGCTTACGTAATAAAGGTAAAACGTATTCATCATAATATTCCTTTTGGTAAAGTTTTAGAATCTTCACCAAAACAAATGGAGAAGTCATTAAATGTGCATATCTACTACGTGCTTTTTCAAAATTACTTTTTGCATTTTCTGTTAAACTGCAGAAGTTATAAACGTTATCATATGCTTTATTAATAAAATGATCAGGTAACGAATTAATAGCTTGAAACAGTGTGAATAATGTTATTTCTTTTTCTAAATTCATGTTTCCACCATCATTATGTACTTCAAAATCACTAATACCATCAACTATGCTTTGAGCTAGTTTATCGTCAATGTTTACATCTTTGTTTTCATTCATTATACTCTTTATTTCTTCGTTCTTTTGTTCAACTTTTACCTTAATATTCAAATCATTTAATACATCGTTTACTGTTCTAGTTAATGTCGAATCATAACTTCCACGAATGAATGAGTATGTTTTGATTGGTTCTGTTGCATTCTTGCGAACTCTTGAATCAGCCATAACCACTAATGAACGCTTTGAATCATCCATTGAAGTCATGATATCAATATCATAATCATTGCAGGAATAACATTTAATCATTCTGTTCGAAGTTGAATAGAAGAAATTAGTGTTGCAATAAATGTGAAGACCTCCTGAAGCGGTTTTAACGATAACATCTTTATCCGAAAGTTTTGATAAAATGTCTTTTCTAACCGTTTCTTTAAGTTCATCATTGTACGATTTATTGATATCAATATCTATAATCGTTAAATTCGAAATTTTATTTACTAATAAAGCCATACCAGTTTTCCTTCCTCTTCCTCCATCGTGTTTGAGGTAGTTATGTAAATCAATCTTGTTTTCACCAATTCTTTCGTTGAGGGTTTTAGTTTCTGCCGTAACTAATTCCTCAGCTAATGAATCAATAACTTTTTCATCAGAAACGATATAGTTGCTGTTGTTGTTTGTTGCTGTCATTTATATAGGAATAAAAAAATAAAAATAATTTTAAAACTAAATTTATTTTTGGACTGCATCAAATTTCCTGGACTGTTGTCTAAATGTCATGTTGTCATCATTTTTTAAAGAAGTTAATTAACCTGGTGACATGGTGACGTGGTGACACCTTTATAATTTATGAAAACATAAACAATATAAATTCATGAAAACATTAACGATAAAATATATTTCTGTATTTCATCCGCTACTTTATTAACTAATTAACTTCAGACATAAATTTTATTTAGTTCATAAAATTTTTTTGATTAATTTTGGCTTATTTTTATCCTTCCAGTAATCATTTTCGAGTTCCGATAAATGTGTAGGGTTCGATTCTCTCAAATTTCTAGAAGGAATTTTATCATCCACACCTCCTTCATAAACGACAGTGTATTCATCTTTGTCTTCATCATAACTCACAATTTTATTAACTATACCTCTTTTCGCTTCATCAACCGTCTTAGCTAATCTTCCATTTTCGCTTTCAACTAATCGAAATCGTGGATAAAATGCGACCGAATGGTCAGCTGCTTTAATTAAATAACCATTACTCTATGAGGAATCAACGATATAATAATCATCACTTAACTGATTTCTTACTTTTTCATGTGGTTTATGTTCAAGAATGATTCTAACTTTAGTTCCTGGCAGTAATGATGAACTTCTTCTTTCCTCCGTTAACATTCTTTTTTGTTTTATGTATTCATCCTCCTCTTTTGAAGTCATTTCGTTTGGTTTAAATCCTGTGCTGTTATGAGTTGATTTATTATAAGCATTAATGACTTTATTCATTGATTCCTCCGTAAAATTTCTTTATTTATTTAAATCTCTGAGCGTTCGAATGAAACGATTAATGATACCTAAAATATTATGGTTATGGTCTTCAGTCATGTAATGAGTAACGTTATGTTTAATCAAAAATTCTGTAATTTCATTACTGAGGATGCTGAATCCTGGTCTGAAGTTAATGAAGTGGGATGATGTTCTGCCACGAACGTCTGCAAAACTCATAAAACTTCTTTTGTTCCTTTATTTTTCATTATATACGCAAAAGCTTTTCGAGTATTAACATTAATGAAAATCAAAAATGGTGACTTTCTTCCTTTCTTACTCTGAACGAGTGTATCAAATTGATATGCATCATGGGTTTTAGAATAAATTGGGAGGTAGTAGTCGTATGGATTAAATTTAACCTGATGAACTATATTTTCATCATAAAATCTCTTAATTTCTGTTCTATCATTAAATCCCGCATTCTTTGCAGCTTCATAGAATTTTTTAAATGACCTCCACGGTGATGATTCGAATACTTCTTTTAAACTCATTTATGTAAAAATAAATTTAGTAAATTTTAAGCTGTTCTAACCCATGCATAAACTGTCATATAAGGTGGCATATAATCTGCACCCGAACCTGTTGAATTTGTTGTGAAAGTATGCTGGTGGTTACCTCCTTCATCTGTTGTTCTTTTAACCTATTTGCATGTAGTATCTAATGGTCTAAATGTATTGTCACTGTTAAAATCTTTTTGCCAGTTAGCTACGTAGTGGTCATCGAAAGTATGTGTATGATATCCTGAAAAGTTTGTAGTTCCTGTATGCTTATGCGGTGGAAGATTTGCTTCTAAAATTTTCTTTGAACCACCCGTTTGATTTGATGAATTAGCACAGTATAAGAATTTATCTACAATCTGCTGCCATGTACCAAAACCTAAAACACTTGCCGGATTTGTTGAGTTCATTGATGTATATAAAGAACCAACAGGATATATGGCTTGTAATATTTCATTCTTCATACTTGCAATTGCATTTGTTGCATTAGTTCTAAATTCATCGAAACCATCGAGAATGTTAGTGAGATTATTATATTTCACATTCTTTTGACCCGGTAATTGATGATGTAATTGAATATCATTAACTGTTATTGAATCGATATTCGAAAATCTTTCATTAATTTTACCATTAACTGCATCATTTACTTCTGACTTCTTCACATAATTTTCATCTACCCATTCCTTTGCTTCTTCTGTATAACTCATTGCTTTTGTATCATAACGATTTAATTCTTCATCTACATATATTTTGTCGGTTTTATTGGCTAAATCAACAACCATATCTTTTAGGTTAGTGCACATATCTTCATCACGCATGCTTGATGAAGCAATAGCCCAATTCAATATTATCTCATCAGCTCTAATAGTTGTGAAGAATTCATGTGTATGTTCTTTATCTGCTTTTTTATCTAAAAGGGCTGGTAGTTCATATGTTTCAAAGTTTCTGACATGACCTTCGATATTCGTACATTTACTATCTAAACTGTTAAGCGTGTCTTTTACGCTAGTGCTTGGATTCTCTAAAGGTGCACTTGAACCAAGGTCAAAGTTCAGTATTATGTCGTCTGCTCTAACAGTTGTGAAGGATTCATGCGTATGATTTTTGTCTGCTTTACTGTCTAATGAAGTTTGAAGTGAATTTATGTCGTTATGTTCTGTTATTAAATCACGCCTTAAGTTTACTATTTCTTGATTTAACTCAGGATGCATATGATTTACATCAGCTTTATTTTTAATCGCATCTTCAACAGTTATTTTTGACTTAACCATCAAAGTAAATCTTGGTTCAACTAATACATCGTTAACAAAGAAGTATGAAGCATAAATTTCATCGTTATAATCAAATGCTTCTGGCGCTTTACCTGTTGTATCATAATTTATAACACATCTTATGTCATAACCTTCAGCACGAATGAATTTATATCTTCTTTCATTAACATCTTCCGTATTCACTTCTTCATCCTGTGTTAAATATCCATGATAGTCCGTTATAATCTGTTCATCTGAACTTATATAATGAACATGGTTTTTATCTGCTTTATTATCTAATTTCTCATTAACATCATTCACTTCTAATTCAACTCTTCCACCAGAATTCTTATTATCATTAATCTTTTTCATTAATTCAGTAATTACATCATAAAGACTATATTCTGTTTTCGGTTCTGTAAATAATGAGTGGAAATTTCTTTTCATCATTACATCGCTGACATTAATTATATCATCAATACCTTTTTCGTTTATTCTCTTCATTAGTTCTGCAATAATGACGAATATATAATCTGTTAATTTATTCTCTTCATCAATGGTTATAGAATGGTTTGAAATCGAATCATTAACACCTCTGAATAAATCAATGACTTCAGGATATACGTTTTTAATGTCTCGAATAACCTGACCCGTATCCTGAAGTTCCTCCTCTTCTTCGTTTATGTCTCTAACCATCATCAACGCAGCCATAACCGGAGGGTTTGTTGCTACCTGTTCGAAAATCTGTCCGTTATGTACGGTATATCTAAATAATTTCTTTGTGTTTGTTAAAACATTTGAAACAAGTCTTTTAAAACCATCTACAAAATTTCCCGTTTCACCTAATGTTCTTGCAGCATCTACAAGTTCACCCATTCCCGCTTTCGACCCCAAAAACGTCCATATTGCATTTATTTCACTCTGTATAGTTGTCCATTCTGCAAAACTAACGCCCGCATTCGCTAAGTCGAAAATGAAACCCAGTGGATCGAACTTAATTCCGCCTTCTTTTTCAATTTCACTGAACTCACTAACATGAGATTTTAAATATTCTTTCGTTAAAATCGTTTTTCCTGATGTCATGCTGTTGACGGAACTATCACCGTCAAAAGTTAACGAATTCAATTTCGTCATTGATGCTTTTATTTCATACACCGCAGTATCAATAGTTTTTGGCTCACCTTCTTTAGAAGTGTATGAAACATTAATGAATGAATTATATGTATTCATGAATGAGTTAAAATCAATGATTTTCATTAATGAAGCCTTTAATGATTCATTAACTGTTGAATCCCTTAATTCAATTAATGAACTGTCGTTAATGAAAGGTACACTGCAAACCGTCGAGTTTGGATCAAATGCCGTAGTCGGCTGGGGAGTATTAATTATATAAGTCATTAAATCATTAAGTGACGTAAATAATGTTGCTGTTTTTGATTTAATTTCTTTAGCATCTGTTATATACGGTAATTTTATTTCTGTAGTTTCTGAATTAAAGATATTCGCTAAAATGTTTTGTAAACTGTTTTGGACAGCTGCGTAAACCGTTGAATTCGGAACCCTTACGATTTCACCATCCTTAATAAAGGGCATTGCACACAGTGTAGTACTTGGGTCAAATCTTTCGGGATTATAATTCAACATATATTCTAATGCTTCATAAACAGACCTATATACTGTTGTGTTATCTTTTTCAATAATTTCTCCGTCTTTTATAAACGGCATTGTACATGGCGTTAATATTGGAATGAATTTTTCATATTCTTTCCATGAGATATAATGTTCAGTTTTTCCATCAGTGATTATTAAATGCTCATCATCAAATGAAAACGTGTATGAACCGAAAATTAATCTTTTCGCCCTATCAGCTTCATAAGAATATGCGGATATACTCATATTTTTAATTATAATAAAAATGTTGTTCTATTTGCAAAGTACTGATCCTAATGATTACGGGACATTAAAATTACAAACTAACCTTGGTCTTCAGAATGAACCACTAGCTTTCAGAGTTCTTGATTTTAGCACAATCGCTTCATTTGTTATAACAGATACTAACGATTTCATTACTTTTGAAATTGATGGTATTAGTACTGAAATTCATTTTAAAGCAAGAAATAAATATGATATTGATACGTTAGAGAAAAAGATTCAGGATCTCATTGATGAAAAATTTAATGGAGGAATTAACTGTGAATTAACTGATTCAGGAATTATAAAATTCAGTTCCGAAAAAGAATTTAAAATTACTGATATGACTCATCGAGCACGTTTATTATTAGGTGCTTATCATCAAGAATTACCATTAAAATCTTCTATTGAAAATCAGAAATATATAATTGAAATGAAATCTGCACCCTACATATGTTATGGAAACTGTTTATATGTTGAATCAAAAATAAGTAATGTAACAGGAATTTCAGGAGTTAATAATAAAAATTCTGTTATAGAATATAAATTGTTCTGTTACGCCGTTAATTCTGTATTCATGCCTAATTTTCCGATTTTATTAAGACACGAAGGCAAATGGGTTAGAATTCAACCACACCATTTAAAAGATATGACATTTAGATTAGTTGATTTTCAAGGCGAACCAATTGAAATTAAAGCTCCTGTCAATGACTATAGAAGTTGATTTTTGGTCTAATATAAGAGCTAATGGACTAGATGATGAACCAGGGATAAAAATATAAATTTAAATTAATTCGTTAAAACATATTTCAAGCAAAGTTTATATTCTGTTGAAAGTTTTGTGTATTCATTCGAATATTTATACTTAAACTCAACTCCTGTAGTTCCTGGTGTTTCGATTATTCTAATATTACCGATTTTCATAAATACGGCATCTGACCGCAACATTCGATTTCAGGGTCGAGATAATCAATAACGCACTGTTTCCCTGTTATTCTTGATATAACATTTTCTAAATCCTCCTTTGTTAAAATTATTTGATTCTTACTAATAAGATTTGTCAAAAGCTTCTTATCGTCTTTGAGTAATATTGTTTTATAAATTAAGGAGGTAATGGTCTACGTTATCTGAAGATTGTTTGAATAGTTGAATATGGATTATCTTGAGCATCACGCGATATGATTGGTTCTAATGGAGGTGGATATTCTAACTTAACTTCACTGTTAGCGTTTGTGTTTGAAGCTGTGTTTAAATTAACGGATTTCAGCTCTGGCTCTCTTATCTTTCAAGTTTTCGGAGCTGTAATTTTTGATTATAATATTATTTGTCGTTCTTGAATCAACATTCGACGTCGGTTCAATAGGAACATTCACTGCTCCGGCTAAGATGGATTTACTTCTCATTTTCTAGAGAATAAAAACCTTTTATTACTATAAAAATGAATAATATCTTTGATAAAGGTTTAAACGTGAAACTTGAAAATGAAAATATAGTTGAATTCACTGAAACTGGCGCAGTTTATAAAGATGTTGAGGTGTTAAATAAGAAATCAAAAGGCAGAAGTCGAAATATGAACATCGATTATAAACCATTTACTATTTACGTTAATGATGGTTCTGGTGGTTCAAATATTAAATATGCCGAAAGTAATAGAGTTTATGCGTTAAAAGGTGAGGCACCATCAATTAAAAACAGTTATTCAAATCTTTATCCTCAAAAACTAACTGATCCAGAAAGTGTGGACATGAATGACACCAAAAATATAAACAGAAATGGTGATAGAGATGGATGGAATCTATTCACAACACCTCATCTAAAAATAAAGCTTTAAAATAATGTTGGTCTTTCCCAAGGTATATTTTTAACATTAATTGTATTAGTCATTATATGAATTTCTAAATATGAACGTGGTGAAATGAGTGATTTATAAGCATCCCAGATTTCATCAAAAGGTAATGTTATACCTGATTGCTTCCAAATTAATTCTATATCGTATTTTGAGAAACCTTGAAATATAACGAAATCAGTAATTAAACGTTTATGTTTAATGCTAAAAACCTCCACGTTGCATAAGTATTGCAACAGTCATGTGATAATGTCTGACTTTAGTAATTAAATTAGCTAATGGTGAATCTGGTTTTGAAACTAAACCTTTACCAGCGAAATCATCACAAACTAATAAAGTGTTTGAGGATATTTTTTAAAAGGATATTTTGAAAGTTTTGAGAGAATGTAGTTTGTCAATCGTTTCATATCATACGTACCATCCTGCTGTCTCAAATGATGTTTATCAATAATTCTTTCCATTTCTTCCGAGGTCTTTTGCATTCCTGATTGTATAAATTCAACTATTGCATAATATTTCTTCTTTCTTCTTATATAACGTTGAAGAAAAGAAATTAATTCGCTATCTGGAACTTTAATTACTGATGCCTGAACTTTACCATAAACGTCTTCGCTGTTGAATCCATTGAATCTGAAGTTGCTGATATAATGATTTGGTCATAATATGAATCTTGACCTAAACGTTCAGTAATTAAAATATGACGAATTAAATTAAAAGTCTTTCCGAACCCATTTTTCCGCAATAGAAATACACACCGTTTGAACAGAACTGATAATCCTTACTGAAGGGAAGAATTAATGAACTATTGAGTTTATCAGATTTTTCATTCATTTTTTCATCTACTTCTTCAAATAAATGTTTCATTTTATTATAATTAAAAATGCAAGTCAGAAATTTTGTTAATACCGTTCCCAGTCTTAATGATAAAAGTATTAAAATCTATTATGAGCACATATTTTCACAACCGTTTAAAATAATCAATGGTGAATACATTTATGAATACCCTAAACACTGGGTTGATTATAACACTGGCGAAAAAGCAATTGAAATAAGACAGATAAAAACCATTCCTGCAGGACGAACCATTGAATTATATAACTTTGGAATAATAAGAGATAATCATCAATATGATTTACAGATTTATATAGATTTAGACACAGGAGATGATATGACAGCATTTAATAAAAAGATTAAATCGGTTCTTATTGAACAGTTAAAAGGTGCCGGATATCCTCAACCTAATGAAGTTGATATGTTTTATAGTTTTGAAACTAATTCAATAGAATTTCGTGTTAATTCAAATTCAAAAGCTGGTTTCATATTTGATTTAAAAGATGGTGCTGTCGGTGATGAGATTGAAAATATACACGAATAAAAATTTTCAAGAGATTACAGGAATTAATAATGATGAATGCTTTTATCGATTTGCTCAGTTCGGAGCAGAACAGATAACATTAAATGACCTCCTGGAGTACTTACCAAAATCAATTTCCATTAAAAATGATGATTATTTATTAACATCAATTTCATTTAATGGTGTTTGGTCCAGAGAAGCGGCAATCATTAAATCAAGTATAAGTGAATTCGCTGAAGATTCTATTTTATGTTTATCAAACTGTTTATATTCTCCGCCGAAGCATTATTCAATAACTAATTATGTTAATAAATTTAATATAAAATTAGTTGAACCATCGAGCCTAAAAGATATTGTCCTTCCTGATGACAGAAAAGATAGTATTATTATCGAACTCATATTAATCGCTTATTAAAATTTAATTATATATAAATGAGTTCAACGACTGAAAGCGCATGGGCTAGTTTTGATGAAGATCCTAAACCGCGGACTTATTAATAGAATTGTAATTCCGTAGTCTTTTATTAGCTGCTGGTGTTGTAGCGGGACCATATTTATATAGAAATTTATATAGAACACCGATTAATTCAACTGCCGGGGCTGATCTTATTCCAACAGGTCTGAAAAAATCTACACCGATTCAAAAAGCCCGACACAGGAAAGGAACCGCGAACCCACTCCACGTATTAGGTCTTTTATTAATTATTTAAGAGAATAGAAGAAAATTAATTTGTAATAAATGACGTCGTTAAATGTAAAAATAATTTGTGATGATATTACTATCATTGATGATGTAAGTGAGTGTGCTAATATAATTGATAGAATTAATGAACTAATAAAGAGGTTCAGTGGTGAAAAAGTCAGAGTTTCATTAACGTTTAGCTCCGATGAAAAATTTTATGAGTTAATCATTATGAGAAATGATTTTAATAAGTATTAAATGGTATTTTCAACACTATCAGCTTTGTATGGAGGTTATAAAGCTATTGACGGTTTAACTGGTGGAGCTGTATCAAAAGCTTTAAAAAATAATGCTGGAATGCTTGTGTGAGCTGCTGCCAGAAAATTAAAATCTGAAAAGTTAAAGAAATTAGGTAATTGGGTCGCTGACCAGTCGCAAAACCTTTTAGGTGAAGATAATGAAATATCTATGCAGCTAAAAGATTTTAAAGGTCAGTTGAATGGCGAAGAGTTTAAATTAAATTCACTTAAAGAAAAGGAGAAACAGCCAGAATATCCACCAATTGAGGCGCCGCCGATTAATTCAGCACCTGCGCCATCACCAGCACCAGCGCCAGTAACTGCAGTCGCACCATATGACCCTGGCGGTTATGGAAGACCTTTTGACCCCAAAACAGGAGGTTCTAATTGGTTTCATTACGGTCGAAGATATATTTTAGCTAAAATCGCAAAAGCAAAGAAACTGTTAAAAACTAAAAAGAAACCAAGAGTTTTAAAGTAATTAAATGGTTAGAGATGTTCTCGAATACCCTGCACCACCTGAAACGCCTAACAATAATGATTTATATAATCGATTGAAAACTTTAGGTAAAGCGTATTTATGGTTTAATTATCCTTATCATATGGCGGCTTATAAACTTTATAAACACTATAAAGAAAGTAATAGACCTTCAACCGACCTAGTTGATCCGCAGGAATTAAGGAAAAGACGACGATAAAAATAAAGTTAATTTTAAAAATATTTTTTATTTTTTACTTTTAATAAAATGAGTACTAAAATTACTGAAGCAACAAAACAAAAGTTTTTAGTTGAATACATTAAATCAGGAACTATTCTAGAAGGTTTTTATGTTCATCAAATGAAAGATGGTAGAGTTCAATTTAGAAAAATTAAGCAGCCATTAGATAAAAATGGTATTTTGAGAAAGATTAAATTATATGAAGATAATATAGCAGAACTGAAGAAGAAGTTAGAAGAATTCGAAAAATCAGATGAATGAAATAATAAATTTTATTTTTATATAAAATGAATTTTACTAATAAATTATTAATTATTGTTTCATTACTTCACATCTCCCGTGAAGCTCGTTTATGGTATGAATCTATAAAAGAGTTTGAAGACAGCAGCGATGACATTCCTGAATCATGCCAGCATATTTACTGTTGAAAATTCACAAGGTTAGAAATGAGGTTAGATATCGGGTTAGATATACCCTAAAATTAATTTTATCATTTATGAAAAATTTAGTATATACAGAAATTAAAAATTTTTTGAGTTAATTTATTTTTAAAAAATTATTTTTTTACTCTGGGTGTTAAAATCTATGATAAAAAATAAATAAATAAAAAATTTTAACGTTAATTTTTTAAAGTTTATTTTTTAAAAAATTATTTTTTTATTTTGTGTAAAATGAGCAGAATAATTGAAATCAAGAATTATAACAATCACGAATTCGAAAACTTATTCTTCGTTCCTAAAGAAAATGCATTTTATCAAATACGTGCGCGTAAAGGAAAAATTAGTTTAAGCGTTTATGATTACAAACATGATGGAAAATTTATAGTAGCATATGATACAAAAGGAAGAAAAGTAAAATTAGCTTTATCAAAATTGTCTCAATTGTTCAACATTAATTATGGCGATGATTATGAATCAGATGAAGAAGAAAGCGATAGTGAAGATTATGAATTATTATGTGAAGCACAGCAATGGGAAGCGCTGCAAAAGTTATGTAAGCTATAAAATTTATTTTAATAATTTTTCATTTTTTATTTTTAAATATACACGCCTGTAATATCTGATAACGTTTATTTGTAAATTTACGATATCGTTTATTTTATCAAAAAACATTAATTGGGGACCGAGGGGCGTAGACCCTTGGTACCAAATTAATGTATACTAACTATACCCCATTATTATCCTTATTATAAATACTGATATTTGCCAAAAAGCTAGGTCTTCAAATAAAGAGGATCATGATGTTATGTGAAAAATACGAGTTGTCGGGAGGTGCTTTTCACCTCACCTCGTAGTACCCCACGAAAATGAATCAAAAGTTTTGTTTATTCTTTTGTAATTTTATTGAAAGCGTTAATTATTGTGTGATTTATGTCGCAAAAAATCTTTGCCTGAATATAAGCTTCTCCTAAAGTGTTTGCAACTTTACTATCTCCATAGCTCACAAAAGCTTTGGCATTTTGCATTGAATCGGATTCAAAAATTTTTCGTAATATATGATTCTCTAAAATTGATGATGGAATATCTTTGGGGAGTGAAATAACTGTTTTGAAGTTATCACTAAATTTAGGATCTTTTAGAGCAATCCCTATCTCTCTTATAAAGTTATTCTTTATGTCTGTCAGATCACCACAAGCTTGTATGGCTCCACGACGACAGGAAAAGGCAGCTTCATAAGCATATACAAAAATATCATCATCTGCATATTTTTTAAGAAATTCTATTAATGCAAGAACGTAATCTTCTACTACATGAGCAAAAATATGTTGTCGCTCATAAAGTATTCGCACGCTTGATATCACAATATTATTGTATGCGAGTAGGGACAAAAATGCATACTCTTAAATTAACCTTAAATGTTGATTTTTTCGATATTTTCGGTATTAACCTTATTGTAAATTTTTCCGGTGATAAATTTATCACACTGAGGTTATTTTTCCGGTGAGATTTTTAACCTTGATTTAATGAAATTAATATATATAAATTTTATTATTTTTAATTTCGAATGAGTATAATAAAATATTTTTTATGTGTTTTTGTTTTTGATGTGATTTGAATTTTGTTAACTCTTTTCAAAATCCCTTCATTTTTATGATTTCGGTGGACTTAGAGGAGCTTATTGCTTTTGGTATTAAACAGGAAGTCAAGGGCGGTGTCCCATACAGAAGAAGAACGGGATCTCCAAAGCAATATGTCACTTATTCATGTTCGTATCCCCTATGCAAGGCAAAATTTAGGGTTGAAGAACAAAATGGAGTGTTTACTATAAGCAAAGTTAATGAATAACATTGCCATCATATAGGAGTTGAAATGGGTTCACATTACGCGAGTAAATTTTATCAAAAATGGATCGAACTTTATATTAAAAACGGTGGAAAGCAATTTCTTGCTCAAAAAGCATTTTTTGATAAGTTCGGAATTGATACGAATAACAAAGAAACGATGAAACTTTTCGCGCAGTCTACTGATGCTTTAAAGCACAAATTTTATCGCCTTGATGAGATTATTGCACAAAGATTATCAAACGATCCTTACACTTCTTTGGAAGCATTTTTGAATAATTTACAGGAAGAGTGCCCAGATGATCTCGTTCAATTTGATTACAATGGAGATTTTTCCGAGTTTACAATCATATATGCACCTTTTGCTGCAAAAGAATTGGTGCATAGCATTGATAACCCTCTCCACGTCGATTCCACTCATTCTTTAATTAAAGGAAAGATCCAATTGTTTGCAGTAACAATGAAAACAAGTCAAAACACAATTTTCCCCTTTTGCTATTTTTTAGTGAACCCTCAGACATCTGAAAAAATTCAAGAATGTTTGGTGAAATTCTGTGAGTTTGCGCACCTGGATCCACAGCATTGGAGCGCTGACTGTGCGCTAAACATTGCTCGCGCAATTGAGGACGGATTTCCTCTTGCGCAGCTCAGTTGGTGCGCTGTGCATGTTTTACGCGCATGTGCAAAAGTTGGAAGCTATTTTGACAATCCACAGAATTTTGAGAACTTCTATTTAGCAATGGACTTTTTGACATTACGTGCAGATGCAACGAATGCAGAAAAGCTGGCTGAAGAGTCTGATGAAACATATGAGTTCTTGACAACAATGTTAGAAGAAGAAGAACCGCGCGCTTTGAAGTATTTCGATAAACAATGGAGAAGAACCAAAGAACATTGGATGATGTTATATCGTGGAGAAGGTGATTCCACGAATAACATTGCGGAATCACACTTTCATCAATTAAAGCAAACATTTTTCTTGGGTAAGAAAAATGAGCGCATTGATGACATCGTCATAACTCTCATCACTGTTGTGATTCCAAATGCGATTATTAAGGTTCAAGTCGCTAATGTTTTGAATGAAGAAAGAGCAGTAAGAATTCTTACAAGGGCAGGTAATCAGATTGTTGAGCAAAGAGCTTCAAAACACGATGAATGTTTGAAATTAATTCAACACATTTTGGAAATTGTCGAAAGCCGAAGGATTGAACCTAATGTCCTTATTCCATCTTTGAAGGCAATATTAAATTTGGCACAAAGAAGTTTAAAGGAAGAGTAAGCAAGATTAGATAATTTGGACTTTTTTTAAAATTAATGAATAAACAGTATATTTTTGAAGTGTAAGCTTATTTACCTGAAGCTATATTACTTAATATAACATTCAAAGTATTATTGCTATTTATTGGAGAACAAATTTATGTAATTTTCACATGAAAATTGATAAATTTGTATTTCCTTATGATAATCAATTTTTGTATTTGTAGAGAGTCTCCCTGCATGATATCAAGACTTGGCTATTAGTCTTTATCCATTTTTGAAAATTGTATTGTAAATTGTAAGAATTTCTGAATACTACTACTATAAAATATAATTGCTTATCAATGTATATTCTCCCTGCATGATATCAAGACTTGGCTATTAGTCTTTATCCATTTTTGAAAATTGTATTGTAAATTGTAAGAATTTCTGAATACTACTACTATAAAATATTGTTTCGTACCGAAATGGCTCACAAAAAAGTGACAGAAAACCTTAAATTGCGCGGCAATTTTAATTAAAAAATAAACATTAATTTTTGTGATTGATATTATGCATTTTATTTATATTATATAAGATTTAAATTTAGGGGAAAATTGGGGAAAAAAATAAGATTGGAAGTCTTTAGGTAAGAAGGAAAGGGCAAGAGATATATAGTGTACCTATATACCTCTTGCCCTTTCATTCTAAGTAGAAATGGGAGAAACTTTGTCGCATCATCATCAGTTATGCGGACAAAGTTTCTCCATTTCTAATGGGAATTGCAGGCTATGAGGCACTGATATATAATCAGTACCTCATAGCCTACAATTCCCCTTATTAGACTTCCAAACTTTGAGTTAATGTCAAGACATTAACTCAAAGTTTGGAAAACTTCTCGTAAGAATCAATCGTCAAAAACCTCGATTGCAGTTATATTCATTGTGTTAAAAAACATTAAAAATTATTAAAGATTTGTATAATATGATTAAAAATGGGAAATAATATGAGGCAATATAAAGGAATATGAATATTAAATATATCTAAATAGAAAGAATCAGAAAAATCAAATTATTGGCGCCAAAAAATGTCACTTTTTTGTGAGCCATTTCGGTATGAGATACTACTACTATAAAATATAATTGCTTATCGGGGCGGTGCCATGTGAGGTGAAATTTATCATACACCGATTGGGCCTTTTGCTTTCCCGAAAACATAGAATTTATATTGGGGGCCAAATATATG